CATGTCGGCACACCCCTCACACGTCTCGTGGCCCCATAGAGAGCTCCACCGTAGGTCCCAGTAGCGCAGCCCGCATGCATCACGCACACCCATTCTGGCACACCCATTACACGCTTCGTGGCCCCATAGGAAGCTCCACCGAAGGCCCCAGTGGCGCAGCCCGCATGTGTCACGCACACCCATTTTCGGCACACCCCTCACACATGTCGTGGCCCCATAGGGAGCTCCACCGAAAGTCCCACTGGCGCAGCCCGCATGCGTCACGCACACACATGTCGGCACACCCCTCACACGTCTCGTGACCCCATAGGGAGCTCCACCGTAGGCCCCAGTGGCGCAGCCCGCATGCGTCACGCACACCCATTTCGGCACACGTCTCACACGCTTCGTGGCTCCATGGGAAGCTCCACCGAAGGTCCCAGTGCCACCGCCCGCATGCGTCACGCGCACCCATTTCGGCATATCCCTCACACGTTTGGTAACGCTTCGTTGTCTTATGGCGAGCTCCACCGAAGGCCCCAGTGGCGCAGCCCGCATGCGTCACGCACACCCATTTCGGCACACCCCTCACACATGTCGTTGCCCCATAGGGAGCTCCACCGAAAGTCCCACTGGCGCAGCCCGCATGCGTCCGCCACACCCACTTCGGCACACCTATAACACGTTTCGCGCCCCCACGGGAAGCTCCACCGAAGACGGTATTTACAAATGCGGCTCTCACAATCGCATACGGTTGGGTCCTTCGCCAGGCAAATGTTTGTTTGTTTGTTTGTTGGTGTGTGTGTGTGTGTGTGGAGAAACAAACCTTTAAACAACCACAGCTACACACTATCAAAATATCTGGGGAGAGCGAGGAGAACCCTGGCATCCTGGCGCTGCATTTGTTTTCCCACAGCGGGCGTGCTCGCACGGCCTCGGGCCCCGGGGGCCCTCGCTGGGATCGGCCTGGCTGGCCCCGAAGCGATGGCTCAGGAGGATGGGGTCTGGGGCTCCGCTCGTGATGTTTCGCGACGTTGCACATTCCTTTCCTTCGTCAGATCTCGGGGAAGAGGGATGGAACGGCGCCGCGGCACGTCATGGGGAGGCACTTGCACTCCCTGGCAGGAAGCGTAATGCTGGATGTCGGACTGCGCCCCAGAGACATCCCAGCTCTTGCTCTAGAGTGGCAGCCGCATGGGGAGGGCAGGAGGTGAGATCGATGCTATGGCAAGTGCGCAGAATTCTATCATGCTGGATAGGGGGGGATCCCTGCGTAAGCTGTCCAGGCAAGCCAACCGAAAGCAGAAACCACATTCAACATTGAAGACCGCGAAGACTCGGAGAAACAGAGAAAGAGAGAGAAAGCGAGAAAACCAATTAGCCTGGCGAAGGACCCAACCATACTGCAACAAGTTGTGAGCACCTTCCTTGTATGCACCGCATTCGCAGGAGCTCCCTATAGAGCCACGAAGCGTGTGAGGGGTGCCAAGAATTGTCCGGTGGACGCATGCGAAATCAGCCGCTGGGGCCGTCGGTGGAATTCCCCATGGGGCCACGAAACGCGTGAGAGGTGTGCCGAAATAGGCGCGGTGGGCGCATCCGAACGCAGACATTGGGGCCGTCGGTGGAGCTCCCTCTGGCGCCGCGAAACGTGTAATAGGTGTGCCGAAATCGGTGCGGTGGGCGCATGCGGGCGCAGTCACTGGCGCCTTCGGTGGAACTCCCTGTGGGGCCACGAAGCGTGTGACGGGTGTGCCGTAAAGGGCGTAGGTGACGCATGCGGGCGGTGGCACTGGGGCCTTCGGTGGATCCCCCCACACACACCAACAAACAAACAAACATTTGCCTGGCGAAGGACCCAAGCGTATGCAATTGTGAGAACCGAATTTGTAAATGCCGTCGTCGGTGGAGCTTCCCGTGAGGCCGCGAAACGTGTGAGGAGTGTGCCAAAATGGGTGTGCGTGACGCATGCGGGCGGTGGCACTGGGGCCTTCTGTGGAGCTCCCTGTGGGGCCACGACATGTGTGAGGGGTGTGCCGGAATTTGTGTGCGTGACGCATGCGGGCGGTGGCACTGGGGCCTTCCATGGAGCTCCCCATGGGGCCACGAAACGTATGAGGGGTGTGCCGACATGGGTGTGCGTGACGCATGCGGGCGGTGGCACTGGGGCCTTCGGTGGAGCTCCCCATGGGGCCACGAAGCGTGAGAGGAGTGTGCCAAAATGGGTGTGCGTGACGCATGCGGGCGGTGGCACTGGGGCCTTCTGTGGAGCTTTCTGTGGGGCCACGGAGCGCGTGAGGGGTGTGCCGAAATTTGTGTGCGTGACGCATGCGGGCGGTGGAACTGGGGCCTTCTGTGGAGGCTCCCCCATGGACCACGCCACGAAAACGTGTGAGGGGGTGTGCCAGAATGGGTGGTGCGTGACGCATGCGGGCGGTGGCACTGGGCCATTCGGGTGGAAACTCCCGTGAGGCCACGAACCGTGTGAGGGGTGTGCCGAAATGGGTGTGCGTGACGCAATGCGGGCGGCAGCACTGGGGCCTTCCGTGGAGCTCCCCATGGGGCCACGAAGCGTGAGAGGGGTGTGCCGAAACGGGTGTTCGTGACGCATGCGGGCGGTGGCACTGGGGCCTTCTGTGGAGCTTTCTGTGGGGCCACGGAGCGCGTGAGGGGTGTGCCGAAATTTGTGTGCGTGACGCATGCGGGCTGCACCACTGAGGCCTTCTGTGGAGCTCCCTATGGGGCCACGGCGCGTGTAGTGGGTGTGGCATAGTGGGTGTGCGTGACGCATGCGGGCGGTGGCACTGGGGCCTTCGGTGGAGCGCCCTGTGGGGCCACGAAGCGTGTGAGAGGCGTGTCGAACTTTGTGTGCGTGACGCATTCGGGCGGTGGCTCTGGGGCCTTTGGTGGAACTCCCTGTGGGGTCACGAAGCGTGTAAGGGGTGTGCCAAAATGAGGGGGTGACGGGAGGAGGGGGAGGGAGCAGGAGAAGGAGGAGGAGGAAGATGAGGAGGAGGAGGAGGAGGAGAAGGAGAATGAGGAGGAGGAGGAGGAGTCGCGACCCCATATGACGACGCGCCGAGTTAGACAACAGGCATAGCAAGAGCACTAGAGGAGGAACAGGAGGAGGAGAAGGAGGAAGAGGATGAGGAGGAGGAACGCGAGGGAGGTGAAGGAGGAGTAGGAGGAGGCGGAGGAGGAGGAGGAGGAGGGATGAGGATGAGGAGGAGGAGGAGTAGGAGAGGAGGGACGCGGGGACCGTCTCTTCAAAACGAGGACCCAACACCGCATGATGGTTCGGATAAGGAAACATAGCGAGAGAGAGAGAGAGAACACACCAACAGGAAAGGGGAGCAGGGGGGAGCGGAATGAGGAACAAATAAGCCAGATGTAGAGAACAATGCAGGCGGCTCAACGGTCCGAAACTGCGCAGAGGCCCCTCGATTTTCTGAGGGCTCGAGATGCCAATGTCAGATGCCACCACGAGAACGGTAAGAAGCGTATAAGGAGAGACAGCGCCAGCGGACATACCCTCCCTCCTTCCCCTCCCTCCCTTCCCCTCCCGTCTCCTCCCCTCCCTCCCCTCCCTTCTCCTCCCCCCCCCTCCCCCCCCCTCCCGCCCTTCCCTCCGTCCCTTCCCCTCCCTTTTCCTCCTCCTCCTCCTCCTCCTCCTCCTCCCCCTCCATTCCTTGTCCTTATCAATAACGCTCCTCCCTGCAAACCGCAGGCGGAACTCCACACGGAGGGGCCACGATCCGCGCGAGGGGTGTGCGGACATGGGCGCGCCCTCCGCCTCCTTCTCCTCCTCCTCCTCCCTCCCCCCTGCCTCCCTCCACCCCTCCTCCTCCTCCCTCCTCCCTCCTCCCTCCTCCCTCCTCCTCCCTCCTCCCTCCTCCTCCTCCTCCTCCTCCTCCTCATCATCATCATTCTCCCCTCCATTCCTTTATCAATAACTCCTTCCTAACCACCCCGAGGAAGGGCGGGCCGGGCGTTTCGCCTGAGACTTCCTTGCAATGTGTGATCCTGGCGCTTAAGCGTTGGCAACGGTTTCAAAGCTGGAGAGCGGGCCGCTTCCAAAATGTGGCTATCGCCTGAACGCCGCGCACATTCATGCTACAGTAATTGCAACGGTTTCGCGGGTGGAGGGAGGGTGGTGTTCAAACTGTGACTCTTGTCCTAGCGCCGCACGCATTCGTCTTGAACAGTTGCAAGTGTTTTACGGATTGAGGGCGGGTCCTTTTAGATATGTGGCTCCCGCCTTCGCGTCGCGCAGATTCGTCCTACAAGATGTGCCAGAGCTTCGCGCATCGAGAGCGGTTTCTTTTCAACATGTGGCTCTCGCTTTAGCCCCGCGCATACTCGTCTTAAACATTTGCCATCGTTTCACGGGTTCCGATGGCTAGCGTATCAGAAGTGGCGGTCTCGGGCGATTCAGGATTGCCAGGGCGCAACAGCTGAGTTGATTCCCTCCTCCCTCCTCCCTCCTTCCTCCTCCTCCCTCCTTCCTCCTCCTCCTCCTCCTGCCTCCTGCCTCCTGCATCCTGCCTCCTGCCTCCTCCCTCCTCCCTCCTGCCTCCTGCCTCCTCCCTCCTCCCTCCTCCAGCCTCCCTCCTCCCTCCTCCTCCTCCTCCCTCCTCCTCCTCCTCCTCCCTCCTGCCTCCTCCCTCTTCGTCTCCCTCCTCCCCCTCCTCCTCCTTGTTCTTATGATTCTCCTTCTCCTCCTACTGCTTCTCCTCCTCTTCCTCCCTCCTCCCTCCTCGCTCCTCCCTCCTCCCTCCCTCGTCCCTCCTCCCTCCTTCCCTCCCTCCTCCTTCCTTTCTCCCTCCCTCCTCCCTCTCTCCCTCCTCCCTCCCTCCCTCCCCCCCTTCCCGCGTTGCCCCCCTTCCCTCCCTCCCTTCCCGCGTTGCCCCCCTTCCCTCCCTCCCTCCCCCCCTTCCCGCGGTTGCCCCCCTTCCCGCGTGGCCCCCTTCTCCCTCCTCCCTCCCTCCCCCCCTTCCCGCGTTGCCCCCCCTGGAGGCCGCCCCTCTCCTCGCACTTGACGCACTTGCCGTCCACCGCCCAGGCCTCAACGCACGGGTCGTCCCTGCACACCTCAGCGCTGCGCGCGCCACCGCGGCTCGGGCGGGGGCGCCCCGTCCCACAACGCGGGGGGCGGGGGGGGGGGGGGCAAGAGGAACACCGAACAACCGCTGAGGAGGAGAGGAGGTGGAGGAGAGGAGGAGGAGGATGATGGATCAGACGGAGGAGGAGGCGGAGGAGGAGGGAGAAGTATGGTGAAGGGATAGAGGAGGAGGCAGGAGGGAGGAGGAGGGAGGTATGGAGGGAGAGGAAGGAGGACGACGAGGAGGAGGGAGGGAGGGGAGGGTGAGGAGAAGAGGAGGGGGGGAGGAGGATGAGGAGGATGAGGAGGCGGAGGGGAGGAAGAGGAAGGATGTGAGGAGGAGGAGGAGGAGGAGTAGGAGGAGGAGGGGGATGGATGATGATGATGATGATGATGGTGATGCTGATGCTGATGCTGCTGCTGATGATGATGCTGATGCTGCTGATGATGCTGCTGCTGATGATGATGATAATACTGCTGATGATGATGCTGATGCTGCTGATGATGCTGATGCTGATGATGATGCGGAGGAGGAGGAGGAGTAGGAGGAGGACGAGCGGGATGACGAGGAGGATGAGGAGGAGCGGGATGGCGGAGTATGAACATTAGGAGGATGAGGAGGAGGAGGAGGAGGAGGAGGAGGAGGAAGAGGAGGAGGAGGAGGAGGA